TGTGCAGGAGGAAAGCCTCCTGCGACACGCTCACAGCGCTCTCCTCCCCTCCCCGCCCCACTCGGCTCCTGACAGTTTCTCTCCTCCACGCTGGATGCTGCATTGTGTCAAGGGGGACACAGAGCAGCGCCCGGCGGGGAGAAAAAGATACTATGGCTGCACGACAATTTCTTCCCGAAAGGTACTTTGGGCATTTTGCTGAAAGTGCCATTTTCGGCGGTTGAAATTTGGGTGCATCCCTAATAATAACCCTCAACAAAGTCTCCGATTACTAAATCAGCACTGATATAGTAATCACTTGACTACTGGTAAACAAAGCCGTGTCAATGGCATGGATTTAGCAACAATTTTCTTAAAGCCTCACCCCACAGCATTGGGGTTTCACAGATAGAAACATATAGCCATAACTATAATCTGTAAGAAATCCATAACGAAGCCAATGTCTCCGAACATCCCACACAGAAGCTAATCAGTCGTTGTTAAAATGCAAAAAAAAAATATAAAATGTTTTAATGGAAATGTGTAAGATTGTAAAGAAGGTAAATAACTTTGTGACCCACCCATGAAGTGCTATATGGCTGCATATTAAGAACAGGGAAAACACTTCTGCTTCCTACCTGTTATTAGTACTCGGAGTGACTACTGCCACAATGCTGATACAAATCAAATCCTAAGCGCTCTCTCATCTCTAAATTCACTAAATGCCACACACCTCTGGTTATGGAGGAGCATGTGACTCTCCCTTCCTCTCGCGCAATAAGCAGTAATGTCACTAGTGCGTCCCTTCAGAAAAGCAGGAACACAAGAGAGTGACAGTGTAGCTTTCTGCAAGTGTAACTAAGTGTCCCAGCGGTGCTCTAGTTTAGTTGAGTGGCAAATTGCAACACAAGACAGCTAGGAGAGGAAGAATTTAAACCAAAAACAACCTCACTATGACATAACATATGACTATGGAAAGGCTCTGGGCTGCACCTAAGTGACATATACTGCTCTCTGGGAAAAATAGAAAGAAAAAGGGTTTAGCACAGATTAGTTTTAAATGATGCAGTTTCTGCAAGAGCAAACATTATGACCCATCTAAAACCAGCAAGTCAAACAAGCAGCTTTACATGCATTGATGTTGTTAGGCAATACTCCATGTTTCTGAAATATTTGCGATGTCAGCATCCCACCTCCCAAGATGTGCCTCCTTTCTATTAGGCAAATAGTACTTCTGCTTCTATTTAAGTGCTATGTATACACACACATAAATATCCGACAAAAGAGAAACAAAAAGCCTATTTTTGAGGCTTACGGGGTCTGAAACAGCAATGCTTGCCTTTATTTTATGTTAAAACATCCGTTAATATCATTTAAAACACAATGGATCTTGTTTACAATCCCCAGCAACCTCCAAAGGTGATATACAATAAACCTTGGAACACCTCAAATTACCGACACAATCCAGCTGTTCAATATTTCAAACATGCAAAATCATTATGTCATTAGGCTAATCACAAAGCGAGCACAGGCAGACCTTTATGGGAAGAAAATGCAACCTTATTTTGTTCAGCTTGAAAATCAATTACCTTTTTACCCTTTTTTTGTGATGTTACGATCATTCTGGGTGGCGGGGGGGGGGGAAAAGTGGAATAAAGGCAGCGTTCTCTGATTGGAAGATTTATATGACCTTCACCATTGTTCTTGATGCTCAGAGACACCGAATCAATGACCCAAAACTGGTTAAATGTTTCTGCAGTCCTTCATTGCAACACAAAATGGCATCAGCAACAACGTACATAATAAAACAAAGTTTTCTTTAGGCAACTCGGCATGTACTACACACGTATGTGAAATTTAAAATATATGTAAACCCATTCACTAAAATCTCATAACTTTCAATATCATCTAGTGATCCTGGGTCCTAGTTCAGGCACTACCTGTTATAGGATGGCAACACCCTGTTCCCGTCTCCCAACTATGCTCTTGTGTTGTCACCCGGTCACACAGACGTCCACTGAAGTCTAGAAGTAGTCCTTTCTACACATAGTCCATACAGTCAGAAGAACAGAAGTCTTAAACCCACAGAGCCGGGAAAGGAGATGCCCTTCCTTCCTGGAAGCTAGGAACAAGCCAAGTCTTCCTGGCCACAAGTCTTTTCAGTTAAGAGTCTGACTACTTTGCACATCATGATTCTACAATGTTTACCTATTCTTATTGTATTTTTCTCCATCCACCTCGCCTTAGTCCTAACCAGTTTTCCAATACTTGCTTATAATATGATACTATCAACATTAAGCTTAAACTAGAGGGATGATGTTCTTAGAAAGAAAAACAGTGCTGCCATACAGGGGTTGATTTGTGCAAGGCAAATGGGCTGTTCACTGTGTAAGCAAAAGGAAAAGGTTCCCCTCAGTTTGATAAACGAGACAAATCTCTGCTGACTTGTACCATCCAATTATGCGCTAGCAAAATACTACTGTTTTAGTTTCCTTGCACATGATTGGGTATTCTTGGAAAAGTGAAATGTTACCACATTCACTAAGCTAAAGGTAAACTTCCCCTGCACAGTGCTAATTCTCTTGCAAACCTATTTGCCTTTAGTAAATCAACCCCACTGTGCCTTGTGCTAAGATTTAAATGCAAGAAAAGAAAAAACATTCCTCGTGTTCAATGTCTCACACATGAATTAGGCAAACTTCAAAAAGTTTGATGTATATTTCAGCTAGGGATGCACCGATACCGATACTAGTATCGGTATCTGTGCCGATGCCAAGTATTTGGGCGGGTACTCGTACTCACCCAAAAGCTCCGATGCCTAGCCCGATACCTCCGGTATCAGGAAGCCGGGCAGCACGTCATTACACTCTGCCCGGCTTCCTAATTAGTCGGGAAGCCGACTCCATGCTCTCTCGTCTCTTGTGGAAGCTTGCCAATCAGGAAGCCAGGCGCCATGTAATGATGCTGCGCCCGGTTTTCGGATTGGTCGGGAAGCCGGTTTCATACTCCCTCGTCATCTCATGACGAGTGAGCATGGAGCCGGCTTCCCGGCCAATCAGGAAGCCGGGCTCCCCGTCATTACACAGCGCCCGGCTTCCTGATGGACCAGGAAGCCGGCTCCATGCTTCCTCGTCACCTAGTGACAAGAAGCGCGGGGACGGCTTCCCTGCTAAATCGGGAAGCCGGGTGGCGAGTCATTACAAGCCGCCTGGCTTCCCGAATGGGACTTCAGGTACTCGGTATCGGCGAGTACCTAAAAAAAAAATACCGGTACTCGATACCGAAATACCAGTATCGGTTCATCCCTAATTTCAGCAATGGCTGCGACCCACAGAGAAGTTGTCTCATCTCAGGGGTGGATGTCTGCAATTTCCCCAGAGTTGCTATTTTACTATGGTGAGTAATGACATCCTTACCAGCCAAGGGTTTCTCTGCACAACTGTGCAATATTCTTTGCCTTCTAGAAAAAAAGGGCCAGTGCAGCCCGAGAGCAAGACAAGGCAATTTGCTTTGCAACACAGTAAGACGTAGTATAAATGTTTCGATCTGTGCTTAGTGAATAGCCTCTACTCAAGCACATGTGATGGTCTACTTCAAATGTCAAAGTAAATGAATAGGACAACAATGTAAAGAATGAAACTGGTCTATACCACATATTTGCATAACAACAAGATATGGTAACATGTTATTGTACACATTACCTAAATCTCATTACCACTATATGCTCATACATAGGGGGTCTATATATAAATATAAGCTCATGCCAAATTATATATCACATAGCTATTCATCCAGAGAAACTGCACGTACATTCAGCTTTTGTGATACTGGGGCAAAGACAAATGTTCTTAGGCCCTATTCACACTTGAGCGAAGCCTCTTTGGACGTTTTTGGGGCATTTTTACAAGCATTTCATGCTCGAGTGTTTTGTTTTATTTTTACCCAATACAAAGCTAGTTACTAGGCCAAAAAAAGTTTTAAAGACACACTTTACGCATGTTTTTTGCAATTGTTTTGGCTTATTGACTCAAGTCTACTGTGGCCAAAACGCTTGACTCTGCTCCAAAAGATGCTCATGTACTTTCCAAGCTACAGGCGTTTTGCTAAAGCGACAGATCAGGTGTGAACAGGGGCCGTTGAAAACAATCGGATTCCCCCTGTTGAGTATTGTAGCACTTAGGCATTCACGCTACAATAAGCTCAGGTGTGAATTAGGGCATCTTCTCTCCTGTTTGAATGGCCTTTAGAATATAAATACATTAGCTTCATAGGTATTCCTTCAGCAGAACTGCATGTCTATTCATTGTGTGTTCAACAGCTGTTGTGAAAATGGGGTGAAAACAAATCTTCTTAGTTGATTTTCTCAACTGGGGGAATGTTTTTAAGAATATAAAACATAAATCAGCTGGTGCTTGCTCTCACTTGCAGATGAAATGAGCACTGCTATATTGAAAATAGTTCTGTCAATTCCCATGACACCGGTATTACTGTGTTGCAATTAAATACATTAGCCATAGACATGCTGGAAATAATAATCCCATAGACTGGAGTTTATGATTGCCTTTGACAGATAGAAACAAACCTGCCTCACAGAAGAAGTAAAGTTACTGCTGTTTTGCAACATCGTTTCCATCTGTCAAAGGCAATCATCAACTTCAGTCTATGGGATTACTATTTACAGCACTTCGGTGGCTAATGTAATACCACTGGTTTCTGAATTGACAGGACTATACACACAATATACCAGTGCTCATTTCATCTGCAAGTGAGAGCAATGACCAGCTGATTTATGTTATGTATATTCTTAAGAACTTTCAACCAAAAGAGAAAATACCCCAAGAACCTTTGTTTTCAACCTATTCTCACAATTGCTGGTTAACCCGCACAGAAAGAAGGTAAATGCAGTTTAGATGGATGAATAGCTGTGCACATTTTTATAAATTTACCCCATAAGGTTATAATTGGCAAAACATCTGAGCATGCAGAGTTTAGTTCAACAAAACATGCATATAGAATCTTACCACATCATCAGTCAAGTTTCTGAGTTTGTTTATTTGCTGTATAAAAACAAAATAGTGACAATGTTACTAAATATATATTGTATAACCAGAGTTAAAGCACAATAGCTAAGAACAATTGTTTGCCAAATTCAAAAAACACTCTTGCTCATTACAGACACTGCAATAAATGCATGGCTATCAAGCAACAGGCCAAATCTCACAGAGGGCATTGCAAGAAGGCCATATAGACTATAGACAGAATGTTATCATATCTACCTCAAAGTACCTTAGTGAAAAGACAGATATAGGATTTTCACAGGAAAGAGATTCTTATGTATTTAGAGGAGAAGTAAAATATTCTCTCCAGCTAACACTACAGCTGTGAATCAGGCAGCTGGATGGATCCTGTGTTGTAGGGATCTTTCTCGGCCACAACACAGCTCTGCGCTGTCAGCAGATAGCCGGTATCAACCTATGAACTGCTGACTGTGGATCACAGGACTACATTAGTAAGGCCTCATTTAGACAGACACCTGAGGAGCAGTAAGAATGCAGATCAAATCGCCTTGATTTTACTGCCCATAAGCCACCCACTGCAATGTTCGCATTACGGCTGGATAGTGCAGTATACAATGTCGCGGCTGCAATGCTTTGTCGCATTTGGTAGGCAGATATTAGAGTGTAAAGCAAAATTCCAGCCAACCATGAAAAATACACAGTTGTATATTTTAAAAAAATATTTGAATGTCTTATCTGCCTTGTTTGCAATTCACGCACATCTGCCAAATACACAGCCAGGAAGGTCACCCAACTTAGTGCACTGGGATGCCATTAAAAAAGAATGACAGTGCAGCCCAACACATAACTACTAAGTCAGCTTCATGGTGTTAGTGTGACACTGAAGCAGTCACAAGTCAGCTCTATTGATTGGGAGCGATCACATACAATTGATTGGTCAGTTCCCGATCTTTTCCCTGCAGAGAGAGCGGTGACTGTCTCCTTAAGGGAATTCCTCCCTCCCCTCTACATTCTTCCAGAGCTGACTGGCAGCAATATTTAATATTTTGCATGTAGGCGCACCGGCGCGTGTTTGTGTGTGTGTGTGTGTGTATGGGCCTGCACGGGAGGGGCATTTTTTTATGTTACTTTAATTTTTATACTTTTTTTTTTTTTTTTTACCCTAACCCTATTGCTATCACATAGGGGGCTAACAAGCACCCAATGTAATAGCAGGGTGTGACAGGTCTTTATGGAGAAATCAGGGGTCTTTCAGACCACTAATGTCACCTAGGGACCCCAAAGAAGCTGAGATCTGCTTCCCCAGCTTCATCTCCTGGCTCCAAGAGCCGGAGATTGTAACAAGTGACACCGGAAGTGATGTAATACACATCCACTTCTGGGTCCAGTGATTGGAGCTCAGC